TCTATAAGGATTACAATGCTGAGTTTACAGAATTTGGTTATTGTGTGGTTTACATGTAGTAAAATAATGATTACAGAGTGTACCACTAGAACATCTAGCATGGCTAGGCATTTCGGACAGACTTAGTTTAATTCTTCATTTTAAAATATTACAAATTATGAGGTAAGTTGGTATTATGGCTAAGTGACTAAATACTAGTTTGTGAGTTTAGCAATGTGAATGCTTTTGTTTTGGCACAGTACATAGTTTCAGTATTGGAATATCACCGGATTCATTATTTTAAGATTGAGATTAATATTTCTGCTTATGGTCAAATGGGTGAGTGTGTGTAAGTGTGAACCCCCCCAGGTGGTTTTCCCGTGCAGTTATTTTGACGGGGTGTATCAGGGAGATAAGATTTCTAATGGTAGTTTTGAAGGTGATGAATGTGTCTGCAGTTCTAGAGTTCTCAGGTAGGGTGTTCCAGTTTTTTAGGGCCTTTGACATACATTGAATTTTGTAAAGGTTTAGTCGGACACGGGGAAAGGGTCATAGAGATGTTTGTGTCTGGTGTTATGCCTGTGGGTTTTTGTCACAAACTATCAAGAAAGCATTTTAGGTCAAGGTTGATTTTGGAGTTTAAGGCCCTGTAGATGTAGATTGACTGTAGTAAGTGTGGATGTACTGAACGGGGAGTAAGTTTAGATCTATGAAGGAGGGGGGGGGGGGTGTTGCCAGGGATGGGATTTAGTGATTATTCTTACTGGGGCTTTTTGTTGGGTTATTATTGGCTTTAGGTGTGTTGCTGAGTTGATCCCCAAGCACAAATAGCATGGGTTTGAGGTATGGATAAATAAGTGAGTGGAAAGTGTGAGAAGGGCATTTTGTGGCACGTAGTATCGTATCTTGGAGAGGATCCCAACCGTTTTTGGATACTTTTTTGGTTTTGTGTTGGTTATGGGTGCTGAAATTCAGGTTGTTGTCAAGGTTTTAGGCCTAGGAATTTGCCCTCATTATGTCGGTAATTAGAGTGTTGTCGATCTTAATGTTAAGCTGCGCAGCACCTGCTCTGCTCCCAAAACATAAATAGTAGGTTTTGTCAGTGTTAAGCGAAGTTATTGGCTTTTCATCCAAGTCTTTTTTTGATCAGCTCCTCGTTAACAATGGTGTTGAGGGTGGCAAGATTAGGGTGAGAGATGATGTAAGTCGTGTCGTCAGCAAAGAGAATGGGTTTCAGGTGTTGGGATACGTTTGGAAGATCATTGTTGTATATGGGGAAAAGAGCGGGGGACCAAGGACACTTCCCTGCGGAACCTCCAGTATCAAGTAGCTGTGTTGTTGATGATGTGTCTTTAATGGTGACATACTGATACCTATTAGTAAGGTAAGATTTAAAATAAGCAAGCACATAGTGTCTTATACCGTAATGGTCAAGTTTGTGGAGTAGGATGCCGTGGTCTACTGTGTCAAAAGCTTTTCTTAGGTAAATTTAAAAATTCCTAGTGGATATTCCTTATTTTCCAATGCTGTGTAAAGCAGATCTAGCATTTTTATGATTGAATCATTAGTGCTTTTATTTTTCCTGAATCCAAATTGGCAGGGGTTGAGTATGTTTTGTGCCATTATAAATGAATATAGTCTCCTGTGTACGAGTTTCTCCAAGATTTTGGATAGCAATGGTAAGTTTGATATTGGCCTATAGTTGTTTAAGTCTGTAGGGTCACCACCTTTATGTATTGGTGTAACCCTTGCCATCTTGAGTAGTTTCGGGAAGGTGCTAGTTTCTAGTGACTTTTTAAAAAAGTAATGAAATAGCATGCGAAAGGACATGGGCCGCTCGCTTGTACAGTAATGGGGGGGACATGGGGACAGATTCCCTGAGTTATTTTTAAGTGACTTTATGATCTCGGTGACTTCCGTGGGCTCAGTTGGTGCAAGATAAAAGGAAATTTTGGGGAAATTCCCATCTAGGTAGTCCCCGGCATGGGCTTTGGGTTTATGTGGGTTTTTATTGGCGAGATTAGATCCTATGGTTGAGAAGAATTCGTTTATCTTGTTAGCTGTGTCAGTGGGATGTAGTGGTGTTTCATTAGGTTTAGTTAGGACAATATTCTGTTTTTTTTTCAGTTTGTGGGTCCCTAGAATCTGAGTGTGTGTTTTCCAGGTCTTTTTTAATATCTCCTCTAGTGTCTGTGAATCTACTGGAGTAGTATAGTTTGGCTTTCTTTATTTGGTGAGAACTGATGTATAGTGTTTAAGAATATCTTTGTGTATTAATCCTGTCTATGTTGCTTTTCATATTGGTGTTTTTTTGTCAATTGGATTTTTAGAATGGTGCTGGTTAGCCATGGCAACCAAGCCGTTTGTTTGTGATCTGTTTCGTTTTTATAGGACAATGTTTGTTGTATAGTCTAAGTAATTTGTTAAGAAAAATGTCTGTCCAGTCATCAATACCATTGGCCTTGGAGAATTCTGGAGGCCAGTCAACAGTCTCTAGGTCAGCTGTGAACTTCCTTATTAAGGCCTCGTCATGGAGTCTAAATGAGACTGTTGTATTCAAGTGGTGGTTTACTAATGTTTGTCAGGAGGAAGGTAGGGTAGTGGTCTGTAGTGCTATCTGTGATTATCCCTGATTAAGGGGGGCTAGTATTTGGTCCGTATGTGGTCTATTATGGTTGCACTTGTCTAAGTGAGCCTGGTTGGTTTAATATTGTTGGTATGAGAAGTGTGTTGTTTTATATTGTTTATGAAACAGTTACAGGCTGATCATCTAGTATGCCCAAAGGGTTTATGTTGAAGTCTCCCGCTAAGAGAAGGTGGTGCTTTTTCATTTGTCTGTTTGTTATTAGTGACTTTAATTTCTCACTGAAATTTGGGATGTTTGTGCGAGGTATCCGGGAAATGGCACCGATTGTTATAGGTGTCTTAAGGTTTTTTACAGTAAAATTAGCAAAAATGTATTCCCCATATTCATCACTAAAGCAAGTGGTGCTAATACAAGATAAATGGTTAGAGTAATAGATTGCAATACCACCCCCAACTTGGTTTTGTCTGCAGTTGTGAATTGCTGTGTATCCTGGTAGAGGGTAGATACCTATTGTGTCCTGCTTAAGCCAGGTCTTAGTAAGAATAATGCAGGAGAAGGGTGTCTCTAATGATTCAGGGAGTGCCAGGAGGTAGTCATAGTGATGTTGTAGTTAAGTAATGATAGACTTTTAGCATTGTTTAAGATAGTGCTGGCTTGTGATGCTGTGTAATAAAGGCAGTTACTTTCCAGTAGGTTTTGATTGAGTGTCAGATTATGGAGGTTTAGATCAGGGTCAACATGATCAATCATCTTCTAGGTTTATATTATGGTTATGTATATCCTGAGTTGTGTGTTAAGTTCTAGTACTGATATCTGTAGCAGTGGGAAGTTTGGACAAGTATATAGCTAGAGTATTTTGGTCATATAGAGTAGTCACTAATACACACAATGAAGTTGATGTTGTCTATGTGTTGTGCTGGAATGAACTATTGATGTCTGCTAGGCCTGTATACCTTGTACATGTACTTGCAGTGAATAAAGATACGTATTTATTTATTTATTTTTCATTAGAATTACTGTAATAGGCTTAGTCTAATTAATGTGGATAGTTTTTTTTTTTATATCTTTATGAATTGTAGCATTGCTGTACGTATTTCCTCCTAGGAATGTACACAATAATTTATTTGTACATAACTCATGAAATCGTAATGACACGATTGCAAACAAACCATACCCCGGCCGGGATTGAACCCGCGGTCAGAGAGTCTCAAAACTCCAGACCGTCGCGTTACCCACTAGACCAGCTAGCCACAATAAGATTCGTCCAACTAGGTATATTTCTACACCATAGGAAGGTTAGCACAGGCACCACTGTGACCACAAATGCAAGTTTTACAGACGAATCTCCAGCTAGCGTGGCCGTGACGAACTCTAGCTCAAGTCCCCTCACTGCCGTCAACATGCATTTGTTGTCACAGTGGTGCCTGTACTAACCTTCCTATGGTGTAGAAATATACCTAGTTGGATGAATCTTATTGTGGCTAGCTGGTCTAGTGGCTAACGCAACTGTCTGGAGTTTTGAGACTCTCTGAACGCGGGTTCAATCCCGGCCGGGGTATGGTTTATTTGTACATAGCTTGAGTATACCTGGAAAGGGTTTCGGGGGTAAATGCCCCTGTGGCCTGGTCTGTAATCAGGCCTTGTGGTGGATCAGGGCCTAATCATCCAGTCTGTTACTGTTGGCTGCACGCAACCCGATGTACGAACTACAGCCTGGCTGGTCAGGTACTGACTTTAGGTGCTTATCCAGCACCTTCTTTAAGACAGCCAGGGGTCTATTGGTAATCCCACTTATGCATGCTGGGAGGCAGTTGAACAGTCTTGGGCCCCTCACACTTATTGTTTTGAAACTTATGCTAGAGGCACCCCTGCTTTTCATTGGGGGAATGTTGCATTGCCCGCCAAGTCTTTTGGTTTCATAGGGAGTGATTTTCATGTGCAAGTTTGGTACTAATTCCTCTAGGATTTTCCAAGTGTATATAATCATGTATCTCTCCCGCCTGCATTCTAGGGAGTATTGGTTGAGGAACTAGAGCGTTCCCAGGAAGTGAGGTGTTTTATCGCAGTTATGTATGCCATGAAGGTTCTCTGCACATTTTCTAGGTCAGCAATTTCACCCGCCTTGAAAGGTGCTGTAAGTGTGCAGTAATATTCCAGCCTAGATAGAACAAGCAACCTGAAGTGTGTCATCATGGGCTTGGCATCCCTAGTTTTAAAGGTTCTCATTATCCATCCTGTCATTTTTCTAGCAGATGTGATTGATACAATGTTGTGGTCTTTGAAAATGAGATCCTCTGACATTATCACTCCCAGGTCTTTTGCATTACTTTTTTGCTCTATTATGAATGGTTTTTAGTGATTTTGGATAGTATACTTCTGCATAAAAGAAATGATTTACGTCTTTTTTCTTTCTTTTTTTTTTTTTTTTTTACAGATATGAGCAGTAATCCATCGGTGCAGAGCCACACACCTCTCTTTATATCAAAGTGGATAGATTATTCCAACAAATATGGTTTTGGATATCAACTCTCGGACAACTGTGTTGGTGTGTTCTTCAATGATCTGACTCGAATAAGCATCAGTCCAGATAAAAAGTAGGACTTCCTTGTATTTTCATACTTTTTTTTTTTACACCCCAATGTCCATCTCCCACCAAGGCATGGGTGACCCAAAAAATAAGTGAAATCTTTCACTATTCATTCATTCAATTGCCATCTTGCCATAAGTTTGTTGACATAATTTGGATGACCATTAAAAAGATTTTATCTCTATCATAGCAAAATGCTTCGCTTTTCAAACATTTTATTTTCCCATTTCAGCCGAGTTGAATTTACAGACTCTTCTGGAAGGCTTGCTGTACATCAGGCAGGTGCCTTGCCTGCGTGGCTACAGGAACGTTACCAATTGCTCCGTTACTTTGCTACATACATGGAAGAAAATCTCACCGAGGCTGGTGATTCTCGAACAGCACGGCCCGCGGCAGCAAGACTGTCTGTCATACCTCACGTACGCAGATGGGATCGCACTCCTAAATCTATAATTATGCAACTTAGTAATGGAACCTTCCAGGTGTGTTCTTTTTTTTTTCCTTCCTGCATTTACTTTCACTTATAATAGTGATGGCCGTCTCCCACTGAGGCAGGGTGACTCCAAGAAAACCTTGTTAAGCTTTTCTTTTTATATGTAGTAATTTTAAAGATAATGCCTATGTTAATACAAGAGTACAGTACAGCAAGATAATGATTTTTTCATTTATAAAGTAGTGGTTATTATCATCATATTTACATAAAACATTGAAAGATGCTCATTTAAACTATTTCGTTAATATTTACCTTTTAATATATTTTTCTTGTAAATTGTGATATGTATTTTATATTTCAGATTAATTTCTTCAAAGACCACACTAAGATAGTGATTGCCGGTGACTGCACAGATGTCAGTATCATGTTCATCAGCAGTGACAGGCAATCCTTTACATATCGTCTGTCTCAACTTGCCGAACTTGGCTGTGATGCAATGGTGCGCGAGCGCTTAGTTTATGCTCTGTCCTGTCTTCGGCAGTATGCAGAGTTAGATGGAGAAGAAGTCTGAAGAAGAGAATTTACTAGTTCCAGAGCTATTTTTGGATATTTGATGGAAACTAGAATGAATTAGTACCCTACAGGACCAAGTGAGACAGTCATGTTCCAAGACTGAATGTCTTGAAATGTTGAGTCATGTGAAGATTGTATATTTTGGTGATGGTACTGAAAAGTTGCTGAGTTTTTGTTGTTGAATTGTAAGACAGTTTGTTCAGTTTTGTAGAAAAGGGGCTTTTTGCCATTTGTGTGGCATTATTGAGATAGTCTGTAGTTGGTGGTGTGTAGTAAGGAATTGGTTGCTCCACCCTTGGGTCATGGAAAATGGACAGTTAGCAAACATGAGTCTCATCCTGGGATCTTAACAAGCTTATTTTCATATTTTTTTTATAGAGGAGAGTAAACTCTGTTAAGATGTCCTGAGACTTATAGTTGCTGAGCCTTTTAATGTGCAAGCTCCTTGAACTATGCAATAAATGTAAATTGTACATGTTTGTTATGCTGCACAGAAGTTCTGTTACCATGTGACCATTATTTCTGTTACTGTTACATATTATTACAAACCAATTGACTTAAGATTTGGGAGCATGTAAGCTCTACCTCACAGTTTAATTATGTGTCTGATCACTGCCCATGTTGATAGTCAAGGGCATAGAAAAGCCTTCATACCCACATTCACAGTGTTTTGATGACTTATCAAAGCTAACTTTACACTAAAGACTGTCAGGAACTGTGAATGTGGAAGATTTGTTCCAATAACCTTTTTCATTTTTCATTCATGTTGCCCCTGATATTTACCAAAGAGTTTAAAAGGGGTGAAGTTAATAAATATAATTTATCACACAACTGTGGTACATAAACTGGGAATTTACCCCAAGAAGGACTGGGAGAAATTTCTCATGTATTTAAATAAGTCACAAGAAAGTGTGGTGGTTGTGCTGAGGATATTGTGAAATACCTCTTTGTGCATTATAAATTCTCTCTAAAGTTAGGAGAATTAGATACAAAGATTAATCAAATTGACAGTGATCTCGTTAACTCACACTGCTCAAAGATTAAAATAGAATGTGCATTCATGATGTGATTTTACAATTAATAACATTTTGTGCAATCCTAAGTGAATGCTCTTACTAGCAGGCATCAAGGAATCACGTCTTGCTTAGAACATGGACTAAGTGATACATTCACATTTAGTGTTTGGTTATCATTTTCAAATTCTGAAAACAAATGCAGCCGAAACATTTGTTTTTGTCACCCACGAAGCAAGTCCGTCCTTGTATGCTCTGCTTCAGTCATGTGTGAATGTGTGTTAAAAAGAACAGTTGGATGTGTAACTTCTGGAATTGGTGTGTCCTTAGGGCTTATTGGAGTTTAACCTTAAAGAATAAATTTAAATTTTTAAGTCTTCTCCAAAGTATAATTGGTTACTATTATTTTGTATTTTTGGAGAACAGTAAGTCTTGATTTTGTTTAGTTTCCAAAATCTACATATGTAGTAATTGTCATACACAAGTTGAGGCTTTTTTTTTTATTTTATTTATTTTTTTTTTTTTGCCATGTTCTCTTTTTGGCTCAGGTGAACGATAAATGTACCAAATATAATTTTTGATAATGTCAATTCCTCGTACCTTTGTTTGCAGTTGCATCATGGCAAGTGATATTGGTGATAATGTATACAAATTTCTTAATTACAAAGTCTTAACTGTGAATGTTGTTGGGAAGAGGAACAGTGCTGCCAGGCAGAATTCATGGCATGGTGTTAATGAAGAATCAAAGTTATCTTCCTGCAACCAAGCAAAATATTTAGTACAAACCAAGAAAAAGCTTCGAATTAAATTCTTTGAGGGCATAAAATTTGTGTGTATGATGCAGATAGCCTCGATAATGATCTCATATTTTTAAATCCAGCATTATCAGTATATTTCCTAGATGTCTGAGGTAAGGCTGCTGAGAGCATGAATTCTTAAGTCATTCGTAGAGCAATGTTTCGTGCTATTCACAGGAATGCAAGAAATGTTTAGCTGTCTTGTATAGTAGATTGTTAATTTAGTTGTTTCAGCTACAAATTGACTTAAGAATTCAATTAAAGGAGCGAATCGTTTCCTTGTGATCCCTTCTAAGCCGCCTACATCTTACCATTATATTGTATTTATATGTATATTTCATTTTCACTAAAGTTTACATCCTTTAATATATCTGTCTTACCAAAGATGGCAGGATTTTCAAACTGCTTTTCACTTGAACACTGAGTAAGGTAGACAGGCTGTTGTTTTAGACTATGAATGAACAAGACATGTTGGAAAAGGCACAGCTGAGGACACAATGACATATTGGTAGTTCTCCGACTTGTCAGATATAGGAGCAACATTGTCTTGCGGCTAACCCGAGTTGACAGGGTGTTACTTTGTTTTATCCTCAGGGTTGGTAACTGTCGAATAAAAAAGAAAAAAAAATTCTGACCTAGCTAACAATATGCCCCCAAATATTTGCCAACCCCACTTAGTGGGGCAGTGTGTGGCAGGTTAAGCTTTAACAGCTTTTAACATTAAATGGATCTTAGTGCACACAGTTGGAGTGTGTCATCTTTTTGTTGCTTTTGACTTGAGCATAGGAAGAGTACACTCTGAATAAGCAAGACTTAACTTTTGGCTAGTCTTTAGAACAGTTTTTGATAAATTATAGTGCTGATGACTGCCATTGCAGCTTTAGGGTTTTATTGAACACGGGCCCCAGAGATTTAAGGGATGTTTATTTTAATGCTTTTTTAACGAAAGGCTGCAAGTTGTTTTCCAAGATTCCCATAAAAACATTTTTTTTTATTATTTTTAAATTTTTTGGTCTGTGATTCTTTTTTAAATTTTTGGGTTATGTTTTTTTTTTTAAATTAATTTTGTGTTTTTTTTTTTTTTTTTTTTGTAGGGATGAAAAATATGTATATATATTCTATATATATAAGCACCCCCCTTTTTTTAAAATTTTTTGGGCGGGCCCTTGTTTTCCTCCGGGGGTTTCCCTTGCTTAAAAACACCAAATTAAAAAAAACCCGAAAAAAAGGTCCAAAAAAATTTCCAAAAACCCCCGTTTGAAACCCAAAGGGGTTTTCCTAAATTATTTGTTCTTTGTTTTGGGGTTTAAAACCTCCCAAACCCTTCCAAATTGGTGTTTAGGGAATGTTTGCATGAGGGGGGGAAAGGGGCTGTCAATACCCTCATTGTATAAAGTCATTTTTTCTTTGTAGGCTAAAGCATAGTGGCCAAACCCAGCAAGTGGTTATAATGGAAAAAATGAAAAATCATGGGTTAAAAAACTCATACTTCTTAAGTCTTGTGTTTTTTCCCTTTTAAAAATAGAACATTTAAAAGATTTTTTCAGTTATGTTTTTAAAAAATTTTTAAAGCAAATATTTACTCTCATTAAAAAAAAAAGGGTCAGATTGTGACCAAAAAAGGGGGTGGCCAAAGGTTTACCCTCACCCGGGGAGCCAAAGATTTTGGACAAAAATACAGGGCAGTTTGGATTCTCATACTCTTTTTCACATGCAGTTTGGGCCGTATGATAGAATGTCTTCCATGCAATAGGACAATTTAAATTGGGTTTTAAATTCCCAGGTTATAGGTTGGGTCTCCCGGTCAGTAGTGGAGCCTTTCTCCATAAATTTAAAGGCCGTTAACTCAAATTTAAATTTTTGGGGGAGTTGTTAACCCCCCCGGGTTTAATGTTGTCAAAGAGGACTTTTAAAAAATTTGGGGCCCCAAAGTTATTTTCCCTTTTTCCTGAGGGGGAAAAACTCTAATGGTTTTCCCGTTTTAGTAAAGGGTTCCTTCCCAAATTTAGTACACGGGAGTAATAAGCATTTTACTCTCCAAATTTGTCCCAAAAAAATAAATCATTTTTCATAATATATTTATGGGCCCCTATGTCCCCTATTTTATAAAAGGGAACCAGTGCATGTAACAAAAAAAGGGAAAAAGGGGCGAAGGTTACTGGCCTTGTCTAAATTTTTATTCTTATTGATTATTACTGAAAGGGGCCCCCTCAAGACATGAAAAATAAAATATTTTTAAGCATTAGGATTACAGAGGTAGTCATCTTTTAATCTTCAGTCTTGGGTTTTAAAGCATCATCAAACTCATGGTCTTTCTATTTTGAAATTCTTGTTGAAAAAATTTACTTGCTTTTGTTTGTAATAAAGAATCAATAATGTAAGTTTTGTTTAACCTGGTTGTGAATAATATAAATATTACCAGAAAATTTTGCTATAAGTTGCATGCATACAGCAGATCTTCACTAGCAGAATGCTTCACCCATATGATGCTTTATCAGGTAGATATAGTGCTGATAAGATAAGATTTCGTTCGGATTTTTAACCCCAGGGGGTTAGCCACCCAGGATAACCCAAGAAAGTCAGTGCGTCATCGAGGACTGTCTAACTTATTTCCATTGGGGTCCTTAATCTTGTCCCCCAGGATGCGACCCACACCAGTCGACTAACGCCCAGGTACCTATTTGCTGCTAGGTGAACAGGACAATAGGTGTAAGGAAACGTGTCGAAATGTTTCCACCCACCGGGAATCGATAAGTGGAGTCAAATGCTGGTTGAAGTAAAGAAGTCTCATCCAGTATTGGTGAAGTCACTCATCAGGTAATGTCAAAGGCCAGTTCCTGGCAATTTGTGGTTCTTGTATTTTGGAATAGTTTTAACTGGGTTTTACTGGAATGTATTTGCCTCTGTTTTGTGTGATGGTTTTTAGAGAAGTATAGCTGCTGATTCAAGATGTAATCGCCACTGCCGTTACTTTCCAGTAAAAGAAGTGGCCTCGCTTGAAATTCATAAGATGTGTATTTCTGTGTACGACATATTCCATATATTTTCCATCCTGCTGACCTGTCTATTCTTGTTTTCTGGTATCCAAATCCCTTGATGTTTCTCCTGTATAAACAAAATTGCATCCCAGACATGGGATGCTAAATACCTCTGCCATGATAGTGTTCTCAGGGAGAGGAGTCCTGGTGATTTTTTTGTAATTTTTGCGACTACTGCTACGCCATATCAGATGCATGTAGAATAGGTATGATGAAAGTTCTGTCCTAAGGATAGAATTAACCTGTTATCAATGGTGGTAGTTCCTTTTTCCACACTGAAATTTCCTAAATCAATCAAGTTTATTCTCCATAAAAATTACAATGTGGGGCTTACGTATTTTTTTTTTTTCCAAACAAGTCTGCCGTCTCCCACCAAGGCAGGGTGACCCAAAAATAAAGAAAAAATCCCCAAAAAGAAAATACTTTCATCATCATTCAACACTTTCACCTCACTCGCACATAATCACTGTTTTTGCAGAGGTGCCCAGAATACAACAGTTTAGAAGTATATACGTATAAAAATACACAATATATCCCTCCAAACTGCCAATATCCCAAATCCCTCCTTTAGAGTGCAGGCATTGTACTTCCCATTTCCAGGACTCAAGTCTGGTTATATAAAATAACCAGTTTCCCTGAATCCCTTCACTAAATATTACCCTGCTCAAACTCCAACAGCTCGTTAGGTCCCAAATACCATGGTCTCCATTTACTCCTATCCAACACGCTCGTGCACGCTTGCTGGAAGCCCAAACCCCTCGCCCACAACGCCACCTTTACCCCCTCCCTTCAACCTTTTCGAGGACGACCCCTACCCCACCTTCCTTCCCCTACAGATTTATACTCTCTCCATGTCATTCTACTTCGATCCATTCTCTCTAAATGACCAAACCACCTCAACAAATCCTCTTCAGCCCTCTGACTAATACTCTTATTAACTCCACACCTTCTCCTAATTTCCACACTCCGAATTTTCTGCATAATATTTACACCACACATTGCCCTGACAGGGCTTCTCCACTGCCTCCAACCGCCTCCTCGCTGCAGCATTTACAACCCAAGCTTCACACCCATATAAGAGTGTTGGTACTACTGTACTTTCATCATTCCCTTCTTTTGCCTCCATAGATAACATTTTTGCCTCCACATATACCTCAATGCACCTCTCACCTTTTTTCCTTCATCAATTCAATGATTAACTTCATCCTTCATAAATCCATCCGCTGACATGTCAACTCCCAAATATCTGAAAACATTCACTTCTTCCATACTCCTCCTCCCCAATTTGATATCCAATTTTTCTTTATCTAAATCATTTGATACTCTCATCACCTTACTCTTTTCTATGTTCACTTTCAACTTTCTACCTTTACACACACACCCAAATTCGTCCACTAACCTTTGCAATTTTTCTTTAGAATCTTCCAGTATCATCAGCAAAAAGTAACTGTGTCACTTCCCATTTTGTAATTAATTCCCCATAATTTAATCCCACCCCTCTCCCGAACACCCTCGCATTTACTTCTCTTACAACCCCATCTATAAATATATTAAACAACCATGGTGACATTACACATCCCTGTCTAAGACCTACTTTACATATTCTAGGATATTGTGTGGTTTACATATTATATAAAACTAATTACAGAGAGGGCCACTATCACACTTAGCATGACTAGGCAATTCGGGCAGACTAAGATTAATTCAAAACTCTCTACTGGTACAGATTATGGAGCATATTGGTGTTAAAGGCTAAGTAACTGCATTACAGTTCATAAATTTAGCAATGTGAATGGTATTGTTTTGGTACAATACATGGTTTCTATTGAAGCTCCTATATTGGAGTATCACAGGCAAACTTATGACTAGTTAAGATTCATTAGGTAATAGTTGTATTACATATTTCTATGTTTATAGGCAATTGGGTGAGTGTAGGTGCGAATTGTGGGGAGGTCTAGGCTGTTTTTTGTGTGTATGAT